GCGTGGAAGCATTTGGGGTCCCACCCTTGTTGCCTATGGGGTTGATTGTGCGTTTTGTGGGGGGTCCAAATATTAGGCGGAGTAGACCGCCGGCGCGCTGCACAACATCTCAGAGCGATGGCTGCTCCGACCCCATGTCAAGTCTCGAACGGGATGGGGAAGTTTCTCCGTGGCATCATCTCGCGACCAGAAACGGCAATACTTATTTTTTTTGTCTATTTTGAAAGTTTTTTTTTTTTTCTTGGGGGGATTTTCGGGAATTTTCTTGATGTTGAAGTTAACCTGTGGAAACATTGGTCGGAAGGGTGTTATCCTTGTTCGGGTTATTCGTCGTGGGAAGGTATGTTTTGTATTCCGCACTTTATTTTTTGGCTTCTTGATCGTAAACTCCTGTTTTAGAGTCGAGTAGGTTAGGCGATCTGTGAAATTGTTAGTGATCTAGGCGGAGTACACTGACGGCGCGCTGAATTACATCTCAGAGCGATGGGTATTCCGACCCCTACGACGAGTTTCCCGAGCGAGAGTGTTTCCCGGTATTCGCTGGTTGGCGCCTTCTATAGCGTCAGGAGTTTTCATTGTTTGAGAAAATTTCAGGAAATTTTCTTAAGGTTGGGGGGGAATTGTAACCTTCGGGTTTGGTTTTAACTATATTTTTTGTTTCACATTAAATTGTGCTTTACTATTTTTTGTTTCACATTAAATTGTGCTTTACTACTTTTTGTTTCACATTAAATTGTGCTTTACTTTTTGTTGAATATATTATACCATTGGTTTAGTGTTGAGCACTTAAATCGGTGGGTTTTTCCTTTAATATTTCCGATGTTAATATTCATAACTTTAAAATCTTGCCTTAATTGTTTTAATTAATATTTGCTTAATATCCATAACTTTAAACTCTTGCTTTAATTGTTTTACTTATTACTTACCTAATATTCATAACCTTAAAATCTTTAATTATTTAACTTCATAACTTGCCTTGATATTGAAACTACGTATAACTCATGAGACTTTATTGAGGAACAACAGCAACAATACAAAGTGTTTTATAGCCATGTCACTCAGGTTGTCATATTCTTGGCAGTCCATTCGGCTAAGATTTCCTAAAAGGAAAAGTGGTGTTATCAAGCGAATATGCATTTTTAATTGAGCTTAAATATTATTTGTTTTTCTTTTATTAATAACTTTGTGGGATGGGATGTTTATTAGTTGCAGAACATCCTACTTGTATTTTGCGTATTTTGGCTGTTAAAGGGTTTGTCAGGCCATTGAGGTCACCTAAAAAGAATACGTTTTATTATTGCCTTGAGACAGCTAGGGATGCGTAAAGAATAAGTTAGGATAGTATATATTCAAGTTACTTACCACTTTTTTTTGTTTACAACATTTAGAATTGTATGTCAGTCGGCAAAGTCATCTGCGGTATTTGACGTTTCATCTGTCACAATTAGGAGATTTCGTTCGGTAAAATTTGAACGTTCGACTGGTATAATACCAGTGGTATTTATTGACGGTTGCGGGGTTGCCAAATACAAATCTTTAAGATTTTGAGCACGTACGGCGGGTCCGACTCATGGTGCAATACATAAATATAGTGTTAGATATCGCGAGGTTGTAAACGAATATGCACAGTATGTTCAACGTTAGAGGCAGGTTCGCTGATAATACTATATGAATGTAAAGACCCATCCGGCAACACCGGGACACTTGAACTACTCGGCTGTTGCATTACTAATTAAAATGTCAAATTTCGAGCGATAAAGATAGCCTAGATTCTCCTGTTGTTGTGTTTTGTTCTTTGTTTGAACTATCGGTTAAACTAAAGTCTTAAAATCATTCTTATTCTTCTGCGTTTAATTTCTACTGTTAGATGTTTTGATTTCCGTGCCAATTTTTGGGTAGTATTACGCACATCCGGGCAAGAACGTTCTAGAACCTGGTGGAAACAGGAAATGGTTTTTTAAGGGACGCGAGCCCTCGTCACTTGGCAATTGTGTGTTCAGCAGACAAGTACGTAGTAAATTTTGGCTTTTCACGCCTAACCTGATAAAGGGATATAAACGTGCTTTTCTAACTTGGAAGTTGTGCTGTTGTTTTGGCATTGTGTTTTGAAGGAATCAAACGGCTTCCAAACGGCTTTGTAGCCGGATTAAAACTGAACCACTGCTAATATTTTTCCACGTGGGTTTCCATACGTTTCCACCATAAGTTCGTAAAGGACATCAACTCCATATAGGAGACAACCCAGAGGAATAAGAATCATTTAACCCTTATTATCAAGGTAGGGCATATTTTTTATATTGAGAGACGAGTTCTCAGGTGGGTTTATTTTATTTTTAGGGTTTTAATTCTGGGCCTAGAGCCTCAGTCTAAGTCTCAAGCAAGTTTATTGTATCAAGTATAAAGATCAAATTGTTTTAAGTTACACCTCCTGTGTCACCCACGATCACCAGGATATTAGATATTGGATACCGTACACGGATGGACTGACGTGCAATTCTTACCGGAAAAGCTCCACGTACACCAATTTTGTATTACAAAGTACATAACTAAGGTCAGATCCATTTCTTTCACTAACAATTAGGTCCTGGTAGAATATTTTTTTAAATTTAATCATCTTTAATATAAACTTCGAATAGTGTGAACTGCGGGTACATTGGCCAATATACACGAAGGGTTATTAACATCAAACTGTAATACCAGGGTACTTTTAAATAACTTGTACTTTAAAATAACTTATCTTGAGATCTGATTTAAGTATTTTTTTTATACTGTGTAACTTCGTGTAAAATACACTTCAATTTTTTTTTAGTAATTTCTTTTATTCTAATCTCACAAAAAAATTACTTGGTGCCCAATTCTAAAAAAATTTATAAGGTAAGTAGTAGTTACGAAGGACATTCACCCACGACCATCTGAGCTAGCGGGATTTTGTGGTTCAGAGTCTACGTTAGGGATTCTGCGCTATATGTTTTAAAAATGGTATCTTTTAAATGGAGACCATTTTCAGCCTCGACTTGACGTGCTCTCTCCAGGGCATTTTCCATTACTTTGGTTAGGATATTAGGTCCCAACACCTGAATTTCATCTTGAATATTGGCTTTAAGCTGTTGTATGGTTCTTGGTTTATTTGCATACACCTTACCTTTTAAGTAACCCCAAAGAAAAAAGTCAGGGGCCGTTAAATCGGGCGAACGGGAGGGCCAGTTAAAATTGGAAAATCGCGAAATTATTCGATCGTCGAAAATTTCTCTTAGGAGAGCCATAGTTTGCCTAGCAGTGTGAGCAGTGGCTCCATCCTGTTGGAACCACATCGCTGGACGGTTTTCCACCTCTTGCCTTAAAAAGTTTTCAATCATGGTCCGGTATTGGGGACCGTCTACGTTAACCGTATCTCCTTCACCATTTTCAAAGAAATATGGCCCAATTATCCTTTCCGAGGTTACACCACACCATACTGTACACCTAACCGGATGCATTTGATGTTGAACAATGGCTCTTGGATTTTCTGTGCCCCAGATCCTGCAGTTTTGTTTATTCACGTAACCGTTTAAGTGAAAATGAGCTTCATCACTCATTATAAGGTTGTGAATAAACCCATTCTGCTCTCTGGCCAACTCTTGGAAACGACGTGCATATTGAATGCGATTTTGTGCATCATTTGGTTTTAACTCGTGTACCAACTGAATCTTGTAGGGAAACAAGTGCAACTGCCTTAAAATTCTTTGCAGAGATCGCCTAGATATTATTAATTGTTGGCAACGTCTTCTCGTGGAGGTTTCTGGGTTTTCCTCAATACTCTCTTGCACGCGAGCAATATTTTCCTCAGATCGAACTAAACGGGGTCTTCCACAACGTGGAAGGTCGTGAACAGTTCCCTGCTGTTGAATACGCTGAACTATTCGATAAATTGTTGGAGCTGTTGGCGCGTTTCGAACATTGAAAAAATTACGATAAGCTCGCTGTGTTAAAATAATAGAATGTTGATGTTCAAAATAAAATTGAACAATTTTGCTTCTTTGTTCGATGTTAAATTTTTCCATCATAAATCTCCCACTCTCTGACTATAAGATTCTAAAATAAAAATAAAAAAATATTAGTATTCAAAAAAGTTATTAACTATATTAATCATAACGGAACTTATGCGCCACCCTGTATTATATAAATACCCCTTAAAAAAATAAAAACTTATCACTATATTTTTTAAATTAATTTAGAATAGTTTTTTGGTACACAAATATTGATAATTTAACAAAAAAATCCAATAAACAAAAACAAAAATCAAATTTTGTTACAAAGTGTAATTATAGTTATAACTATAGAAGAGTAAATGACTATGAAAAAAAGTATGACTTTTTCTCACTTTTTTAGGACTTATAGGTATTATTATTTAAAAAGTGGTCGGGGCTCAGGTTAAAAATTAATTTACAAATCTGAGTTTTTGAAAGTACCTTCAGGATAGAAAAGAGTAAGAAGTTAAAAAAAAATTGTTAATTATGAGATTTTCCCAATTTTTTAGAATTTGTTTTAATTTAAAAAAAAACAAACAGTGCTCGGGGCTAATTAAGAAGAGTAAGAGTTTTTCCCACTTTTTTGGGATTTGTTCTAAGTGGTCGGGGCTCAGGTTAAAAATTAATTTACAGATCTAAATTTTTGTGAGTAACTTCAGAATAGTAAAAAAGTAAGAAAAAACCGGGTTTGAAAAAGAAAAGCCAATAATGACGGTATTTTCGGATTCAGAGAACAATTTTACATAAAATGGCTGTTAAATGATAGTGAAAAAGCAGCCACTAATAACTGTACTAACTTTAGTTAGTACAGTTATTATTCAGAGTACAAAAAATATCCCTCAAAACGTATTTCTGGGACATTTTGGAGAAATCCAATGTGATATTTATAATTTATAAAATATTAAAGATGTACTTAATAATCTAAACAAACTACTATGTATTAAAAATTTATGAAAATACAATTAATTTTTTTAACACAATTTTATTTTGTAGACGGTTGATGAAATGTACAATTTGGCAGAAGAAATAATTGGATACTTAAGACAAGAGGACTCGACCATTAAATCCAGTGATGACACAATATCTAGCAGTAATTAATTAGGCGTCTTAAAACAATTTTTATTATACCAGTAGGTTTGTGTAATTATCTCACGTAATGATAACTAATTGTTGTATTTTGTCCATAACTCAAATAAATGTATTTTAATATTACATAAGACGTAAGGTTATTCTTGACCAAAAAATAAATATTCACAAATTCATTGAAAAACCGCCAAATTAAACAATGTGCTAAAAGAAGTCGTCACGCTATATAACTATGTTATCGACTAATTAAATACAAACATCCTATGAGGATGTTGAAAAATTACAAACCTTTGTTTAAAAAAAGAAGTAAATATCGCACATCTTAAATAATATTCATAGTTCACCTTTGAATCTCATCCGGCACACATCTTGAAAAATGTTGAAATATTCTTGCTTGTGCATGTTATTAACTTGTGTAAACTGTGTTGTTTTTGAGAATGGTACAGAAGCAAATGTAACAGCGAGTGATAGAAACTTTATTAGTGCTTGTGGGGATGTTTTTACTAAAAAACAATTTGTTTTGGAGTCTGCTAACTATCCTTTAGCATATCCCGAAAACGCTGATTGCTCCTATTTAATCAAAGGGCCTTACTGTCCGACATATTTCCAGTTTCAATTTTTGGATTTTAATGTTGAACAGTCCCCTGGGTGCGTGAAGGATCGGCTTGAAGTGGATAACTTAGATGCTCTATGTGGGACAAAAAATGGGATCAAGAATTATTACTCCAAAACAGGAGCTCTTCAGGTGCACTTCAAAAGCGATGCAACAATGTCTGGGAGAGGTTACAAAATTTTAATCTCCAGATTACCTTGTAATATGAACACCAACACAACAAAAATAACACCAGAAAAGCCCATAGTGACGAATTACATCCCAGCTACAAATTCTCATCAATGCTGTCTGAACACATACAACTCCAAGATTATGTTAATAACATCCCCAAACTTTCCGTATACAGTAAACTCGCCCATTGAGTGCGTCTACAAAATTCAAAAACACAACAACATGGTTTGTCGACTACGAATGGAATTCATATTCTTTAATTTAGGCCAACAAAAGTACAACGACTGTCAGGAAGGGCACATAGAAATAGATGGCAAACTTATCTGTGGTTGTAAAGCAAACCTAAAGTTAATCTCACAGTTCAACGAGGGAGAACATGATAAAGTCATCAGGTTTAAATCATCAGGATTAAAAAGACCTTTTCAGACAGGGTTTGTAATAAAAGTTATACAGGATGAATGCCCTAAACGGTACATTCCTGCAAAATTGTTGAACAATTTAAATGGAACAACAGGATTTCATTTTTACAATGATCAGAAAAACAAAGTGGCTTGGCCAGGGCACACCCAAGTGACTCTAAAAAATAGATTGCATGATATTAACGAGAGGACAGAGATTTTAGATGATAATGTTAATACTATCGAGAGTGATAATGCTGTAACACATATATACTACTTTTCATACCCTGAGGAAGATGAGGTAATTCCACAAAAATCCTATAAAGATGTAGAAGAAACATCATATGTATACACAGTCAATATAAACTATATTCTTCCTGATAGCAACGACTTCAACTATTGCTATAACTGGCATACCTACCAATTTAACAACTTATATTCAACCTACAACAAAAACTCTTTGCAATGTCAAAACACCAATCAAGGAACCAACAATTACCACCCAACAGAAAAAAATTGTGTTGACTTAAACTACGTTAAAGGATACTTTAAGAGCCCTGGTTATCCACTCAACTATCCTTCAAACGTAAACATTTGTTATAGGTATGTTTATCTCTTTCTCCTGAATAAATTTTGATAATTTTGATTGATAGGTTTAGGAAACAAACAGGCTATTGTGCAATTAAGGTGTATGTGAATGATTTTCAACTGGAACCAAGTCAGGATTGTAATAATGCCTATTTGCTATGGGCCAATGGGCACAAATTTTGTGGTGATAGTCTTCATAATTCCATAGGTATGTATTTTCTAACCATTTGACAAAATCGTGTCAGGCAAGACCTAAGTTACCTTGACATTTAATACATTACCTTTTAGATAAGAACAATTAAGAAATATTTGAGAAAATTTTATTTTCTAGGCACCTTTGATTTTACTACCTCCAACCATTTGGAAGCAAGTTTTGTATCAAATCGAAGGAGTTTTTATTGTCAAAGGGGTTTCTATGGGACTTACGAGCAAGTTCCTTGCCAGGACAATAATAATTATTATCCTGGTATAACTCCTTATATGCATACAACTCCTAAGCCATATGTTTATCCTACTCCAGCTCCTACTGTTAAGCCAACTCTGCCATGTGATAAAATTTATCAGGAGTTAAATTTTGATGTTGAAGTTTATGGAAATAGTTATGATAGATGTGTTATTATGATTAAAAAGGCCAACCCAGTGAGTTGTTTTTATTTTATTGTCTATTTTTTAATGATAATATATTTTCTAGAAAGTTTGTAAAGTGAATCTGTATCTGGAAGTTTTCAATCTCCAATGTTCCACAGAATCCATAACAATAAATGAAATGGTGTACTGTGGAAAGTTGTCTGGAAAATTATGTAACTACAAAATTAACTTTTTACGGTTAATAATTAAATAAATTATTATTTTTAGTCACATTAGATTTGGAAGAAGGTCCTCAAGAACTGATTTATAGAAGACTACTAAATCCTGGCAATTCAAATTTGATATTTAGAATTAAAGGGAATCAAATACGAAATAGCTGTCCAGGTTTTAAATTGTATTAATATCCACAATATTTTACTAATTATTTTTGTTATTTTAGAAGTAGAACCGGCTAGAATAACTCTTCAAAACTTGATGATTTTGAATACGACAAATATAAGCAAAGAACCATTAATAAATCAATCAAAAATTGCATTTTCTATGAAAAATCAACATCTCAATGGTATGGATATTTTTAACTATAGCTATTATTTAAAATAATTGTTTTAAAATGTTGTTATATTTTTAGATATTTGTGGAATAATATCAAACTCAACAGATTCCAATATTTCTTCGTCGGTATGTGAAGAGCTAAAATTTAAAAACAATGTTACATATTGTTCGCAGATTAACGACAATATTTCTTGTAGGTTTAAAATAAATATCTAAGAATATGTTTTTAAATGTTTTTTTTTCAGATGTGCCATTTTCTAAAGTTAAAACTTTAGATCTTAATATTCGAAATAATAAAACAGAGAAGCTTGAATATCAGGAAATTGATTGTGATAATTTAGTCAAATACAGAAGATAGATACTAGAAACTAAGTAATAATAATTATAATTCAAGCAACATATTTTTTTAATAAATCAATAAAAGCGCAAAAATGTATATTTTTGTTATCTTTTACCCTATAGGCCTGTCCTAACCTAAACATCAGTAAACAAAATTCAAATGATGATTTTCCTCATTTTGAGGTCCAATTTTAAAGTACCAATAAGATTTGTGCTACAGTTAATAAGACTCTAGATTGTAGTCATATACCTACCAAACAGGTGGTAGGTATATGAATTTTGTATTCAAAAGCGCCATCTACATTAATTCTTGCTAAACATGTTTTATAATAGGAGTGTTCTCTATATAAGTATTCTCTATTTAGTTGTATACCATAGATGGATACACGGGAAACAAAAATCATATACTTACCATATGAGTATATGACAAAAATGTTTATAAACACAAATAAGTGTTTGATCAACAAAAAAATAAAATCCGTGTTTTTTTAAATATCCTGGTGCATTCGCCATTATTTAAAAATTTAACAAAAATAAATCAGCATACTTGAAAATTAAAATTATCTAACGCAAAGGATAAGCGAGATAAAAATAAAATACGATAGTCAATCCCAATACATGTGTATAGAAAATTCTTTAAATTGCTGGGATACTAAGGATGCATTGTTGATATTATAATATGAGAAATATTTGGTCGACTGGAATCCACTTCATTGTTAAACTGCTGTCAATTTTTGTTCCTCTTATTATTTATCGTTATGTTATGTTTTCGTTCTCTGATTATGCCGAAATGATGATTACCACAGTCCCCTGGACTGTAAAAATGTTCTACGTTGTAACGAAATTGAAGATGCTTCTTAACGTGCTAGAACAGAGGAAAATAAAGAAGCTATTTTCAATGCCTTTGATGCAAACAGTAGGAAAAGCATAAGGAAAGTTGTACGCGAATAGAGTGGAATTCTGTAGTGGTTGCTAGCGATTTTGGCTCTGGGGTACAGAACTAGTTGTTTAATTTTTACTTTAAAACATTGTCGTCCTGAAGTATGACATTCTTTTTGAAAGGTTAGTAAACCCAGTCGGAAAAAAGATTTTTAAAAGTTTTAAGACAACAATGTTCTATCGTCTCCTAGCAATTTTTAAAATTTAATTTTTTTTGCCTGCACATCAATATCATATTTGACAAAATTGTCCAATGAAAATTGTAAACTTGAAAACTAAAAATAAATACATGTGGGTTTTAAATTAAAAAAATATTACCGGGGAATTTAAATTTTCCAATAAAAGGAAATCATTACCGGAAATGTGTAGTAGTCACATTATGTTTTAAATATTCATTTTACATACAATTAACATAAACGCTAAGTGTCAATACAGTTAATCTCGAGGTAGTTATATATTGGATTATAATCCAATTATTAATTTCTTCCACCCACTCTTGAGTGCACATATAAGATTATAATTATATTAATTATTGATTCGCAGAAATTAATAATTAGGATTTACATTAATTAGGCAATTAAAATTTAATTAATCATACAAATTTCTTAAGAATTAAAGTTCAAGTATAGAGGTCGTTAACCATTCCGAATTTTATTATTATAACTTTTTTATAGTCGACCGCGTAATAGGTAGACTTTTGTCTGGTTTGTTTAGAAAAACGTGATTAAATAATCAATTTAATCCTATTTTTCAATGGTCAATGGATCTAAGCCTAGACGTCCTCCAAAAAATCACGTATGCATTAAAAAACTAACCAGATTATGATAAAAAACCAACCAGATTATAAAAAAACTGCCATAAAATTATTATAAGTTAATGATTACACACGAAAAAAATGTCCCCGCACAGAAATCAAGTGGATTTAAATCTGGAGAACGAGGCCACATAATTGGCCCTCCTCGTCCTATCCATCGGAAAGCGTAAACTTTATCTAAATGTGTCCTTACGTTCGAAGAATATGAGTAAATATGCATAAAAATATCGACAATCTTAAATGGTAGGTCACGTCATCATAGAGGTTTATGAAAAAGTTTTGGAGAAAATACAAGTATGTTTAACCGTTCAGTCGATTTGGTAAGACGTGAGGATCTATCAAGAAATCGCCAATTATTCCTGCCCAAAAGTTGATAAAAAATCTTTGATGGTGCCTTTATTCAATAAAGGATTTTGATCAGCCCATGCATGTCTATTATGAAACTTAACAATTCCATCCCTATTGAATCCGGCTTCGTGGGTAAAAATAATTTTTTCAATAAAGTTTGGGTCTTCATGCCATTTTGTTCTTAACCAGCGATACAATTCTAGTCTACGTGGAAGATCTTGAGGATTTAAAGCCTGTATTTTCGGTAAATGATAGGCATATAAGTTGTTAGTGCATTATTTCCCAAACTGTACTTTTTGGAACGTCCTTTTACATAGCAATTCTCTAGTGCATGTCTCAGCTGGGCGTCAACTACTTCCAGGACCGTTTCTTCGTTTTCCACTGTTTGAGTTGTTTAATTGTTGCAATCACCTTTGTTCACATTAAAGTGCCAGTTTCACAGAGTCTTTGATGTAAACTGGTAAACGTCCGTTCACATGGAAGTATACGCTAAAGAATCATCGTAACAAAAGTAGAACTTTTAATAATCAGCTGTCAAACGCTTAGGTTACAAACGAGTGTTTTTGAGAATAAAGCCGGATAATGTTAAAAAATATCGAACAAAAACCGTGTTAATCTGAATGAAGAAATAAATTGCATACAGTCTCTGTAAATATAAATTGTACACATTTTAGTAGTGATTAACATGAAAAGTGTAAACATTTCAATTCAGTAAAAATCGTCAAACAAATAAGTCGTCTAAATTTAAACAGCATTTTGCATTATTAAAAGCGTTGATAAAGAATTCTTTTAAGTATCCACGGTAAAATATCATTATATTATGTATTATAATTAATATTATGTTTAAAATGCAGTTGTCGTCGTTTTTTACAGAACTCAAATATAAAAATGATTGATTTTAAGGTTATGTTTGTGCAAAAATTATTTTTTCCTAATTTCTTAAAAATGTCCAAACCTTAATATAAATTATATTAGGTAAAGTTATCATTAGTTAATTCTGCACCAACAAATGTACTTACCGAATTGGATCCTTTGGCAAAACATGAAAATGCAACGATTTAGTTCTTGAATTTTATTTACAATTAAAAACACAATAATTCACCATGATCCCTTTGTTAAAATACACACACTATAGTGTGTTATAACGTAACTATATAAGCATTTAAGCGTTGAGTTTCTTAATCAATGATATACGGAATAATCAATCGAAATCGAGTACTAAAAAAGTTTTTTAATTTTTTCCTTGCAACGTAAAACACAAATAACGTGCGCGATTTAGCTGTGCACTTGAACAAAATTTGTCGAGTAAGACTTCTGCCTTCCTCTCTCTTGTAAAAAAAACTACCTATTTATTTAAAAATGTTGCTTTAAATGTATTGTTGACAATTCTTAAATTCACGCAATGCATTCGAAGTCTACCAGATGGCGCGCGCGTTGCGAAACCCCGATACTTCTTTAGCGTATACCCGGGAATACTTCTTGGTACAATCTTTTAGCGACTATTACCGTGGCCTTACCGTACCTACATGAAATGCATGTTGGCCATTTCCTGATAAGTGTAATTTACCATTTTTGTTAGAAATTACAGTTTGTTCTGATTTTTGTTATAACAAATATTTGTCATATATGACAAACAATTTGACAAATGTCATCACTTACAAAATAATGATATTTACAAAGTTTGATGTTTTTCTATTGCCCACTAAATCGCTTGATATTTTTTTGTGACTGTAACAAGAGCCCCTTTTTTACGTAAAATTATCTGGAGAAGTGTATTCCAATGTCAAGAATTCAAAAATACCCCAGAAATAAAATATCATTATTTTTGATAATAAACCACGATATAGAAAAAGTTATTTTAGGTAGAAAAACCCTTTCAAAATGTATACATTAATAAATCTACGGTACAAGTCCATTACGTTAGCGTTACAGTTGCTATAACGACATTATTGATAAAAAAGTGCATTAACATTGATTTTTATTTAGTTAGTAGTTTTAGTTTTATGACCTAGGTACACATTTCTATTCAGTATATTTACAACTTCCAACAAAGGATTTACTAATACATCTAATTGTAACACATTTTTATAACTCTATAGTTAGTTTAATTAAGTCGGTTTAAAGTTTGCGTGATTTTTTGTATTATTTTTTTCTCTCAGATTTATAAGACTAAAGCTAATGATTATACGTCACCGAAGTCATATGACAGAGGCAATAACTTGATATCTTTACGAAAGGTTTCAGTTGTGCTGAAAAATTGACGGCAACCATTCGATACTGGTTTAAAGGATATTAGCAACGTTAAACTGTTAAATGGGTAAGTAATAGTTAATAGTTTATAAATATTAAGCATAAAAAGAAAAATATAATTACTAAAATATGTTTCTACATATGTTAAAATAATCTCATTCGTTCTTTCGACTAGTCATTGTTGATACAGTAGTAAAATATTACTTTATTTCAATCCACAAACTATTTGACTGTTGCCAATCCCACTTCTGACTTTGGCATTGGTTCAACTCAAACACTTCTGGCAAGTAACAAATTTGACAAAATATAACATTTCTATACATAATAACAATTATTAAACCATAATAATTATAACAAGCCAAATTTTACAAGCATAAAATTAAAAATAAAATTATTAAAAACTGTTTTTACATGTGGATACAGTGAATTTTAAATTGGTTTTTAATTTAAATATAATATACATAAACAATCCAATATATTTTTAACGTTTCTTTATAATAGGATTTGTTTGAAATTAATAGGTTTTTTAATTTAAAAATCTCATCAAATGTAAAAAAAAATAATTCAATTGCGAAACAAATGAAACTCACTGCGATATTACCTTTTGTAACTAGATTCTATTGAATGGTTTTAATTTATTTTGGTACCAAAAAAAAGTTCTGCAATTG